GCGGTAGGCATTCCTTTCCATTACAGTGGGAAAGTGGATGCGAGTCATAGAGTTCTTCCAGTAAGGTTTGAGGTCACAGGTACCAATGCAGCAGTGGAAAAGGAAAACTAGGATATAAACAAGACCCATTTGTTTCAAGTTTAGGGCCCCCTAGTGTTACAAGCTACTGCTTGCGAAGGAAAGAAAGAGTTGCTAAAGCTCCATGAAAACAGTCTCCTTAAGATAACCATGCAGAAATTTATAAAAGTTCTGTTAGGTTCTTAGTAGCAGTCGGCGACCTTTTCTTCTTTTACTTCACATAGCTTTTCGTCTCCTTGATAGCTGGAAGTTCTCCAAAAGTATGAAAAGCAGGAGGACTTTGTACCATCCATTCCAGTGTAGTTGAATTAAGTTCAAGAGCCCAAGGACTTGGAGCACATCTTTTGTTATTTCCACTGCTTAAAGTGATTGTTACGACCACGAAGAAACAACAAATCCCAACTACGGATATATAAGAGCCAAAACTGGAAAGGGCATTCCATCCAGCGTAAGCATCTGGATAATCTGGAATACGACGTGGCATACCTGAAAGCCCTAAGAAATGCATAGGAAAGAAGGTCAAATTAACCCCGAAAAAAGTGATCCAAAAATGGATTTGACCTAAAGTTTCAGGGTATGTCCGACCAAAGATTTTACCCACCCAATAGTAAAATCCTGCAAATAAAGCAAAAACGGCTCCCATAGAAAGTACATAATGGAAATGTGCAACCACATAATAAGTATCATGTAGAGCAATGTCTAGCCCTGAATTTGCCAGGACTATTCCAGTGAGTCCTCCTATGGTGAACAAAAAGATAAATCCTACAGCAAATAACATGGGTGTTTTGTATTGTATCGAACCCCCCCACATGGTAGCGATCCAACTAAAGATTTTGATTCCAGTGGGGACAGCTATGATCATGGTAGCTGCGGTGAAGTAGGCACGGGTATCTACGTCTAAGCCCACAGTAAACATATGATGAGCCCAAACAAGAAATCCTAAGACACCAATACTGATCATGGCATAAACCATGCCTAGATACCCGAAGACCGGTTTTCCCGAAAAAGTAGAAACGATATGACTTATGATACCGAATCCAGGCAGAATGAGAATATACACCTCTGGATGACCGAAGAACCAAAAGAGATGCTGATATAAAATTGGGTCTCCCCCTCCAGCGGGATCAAAAAAGGTTGTATTAAAGTTTCGATCGGTTAATAACATGGTAATTGCCCCTGCCAGTACCGGGAGTGATAATAAAAGTAGGAATGCTGTCACTAGAACGGACCACACAAATAGGGGTAATCTATGCATAGTCATTCCAGGTCCACGCATGTTGAAGATAGTTGTTATAAAATTGATAGAACCTAAAATGGATGAAACACCAGATAGATGAAGACTAAAAATTGCTAAATCAACTGCTCCTCCAGAATGACTGGTAATACCACTTAAGGGCGGATAGACCGTCCACCCAGTGCCGCTACCTACTTCTACTAAGGCTGAGCTTAATAGGAGCAAGAGACTTGGTGGCAACAACCAGAATGAAATATTATTTAATCGTGGAAATGCCATGTCAGGTGCACCTATCAGAATCGGAACAAACCAATTACCAAATCCACCTATCATCGCCGGCATAACCATAAAAAAGATCATTAAAAAAGCATGAGCTGTTATTAAAACATTATAAAGTTGATGATTCCCACCAAGAATTTGATCGCCGGGTCGTGCTAATTCCATACGAATAAGTACTGAGAAGCATGTGCCCATCACTCCAGCAATGGCACCGAAAATGAAATAGAGAGTCCCTATATCCTTGTGGTTTGTGGAGAACAGCCATCGAACCAGATTTTTCATAAATTTGAGATTTTTTCGTTTTTTTCCTTATCAGAGAGGGGCCCCTTAGGTATTTAGTAACTCGAGCATTTCTTGTTTACTCGAACAGCAAAGGAGAGGCACGGAGTGACTCGAGCACTTGTTGCGAGAGGTGCTTTAGCAACTCGACTGAAAGGAGAGGTTGTTTACATACTCGAGCACTTGTTGCGAAAGGGGCGTTAACTCAACTACTTACGTGGAAGACGTGGGCTATCGGTCTAGGCGCAAGGGGTCTTTCTGTATGCAAGTGCTTGTCTTGTTATATATATATTCGTGGATTTCCCCTTATAAATAAGTCAATCAGTTGAGGCCCGACCCTTTTGGGTTGCCGACCTTGATGCCATACCATAGTGTTTAGGGGTCAACGCGGGAAATCAACACGTTGTGGAAACGGAATAGAGCTAAAGTGCACTTTCCCTTGATGGGAGTTATCCAATAAAAGCACACAATCAGTGAGATGAGCCTGCCAGCTCAGAGGAACCCCTATGCCTTTTGGCCAGCTTGGCTTCTGACCGGTCGATCCCGCTTAGTACCCCCTCTTGCAACGATTCGGCGCCTCCACTTGATGCTTGACGCCCACGCTTCCGAGTTCACCTCGTAAACCCTTACAAAAGGGGCGAAGCCCACACCACACAGTTGTTCAATTTGAATGTCATTCTCGACTTTATCCCTTCTCTAATCTAATATCTAATAGGGCTGGGTGTTTGATTTCAGGCCCTTTCGAGGAGGGTATCTGATTGGTTAATGTCAGCCCGGCTCGCATGGACTTCCGGTGTTTCTTAGTTGACAACTGCATTGAAATGAGAAGTTCTCCAGTTACTCCTGCACAAGCAACAGCAGTTATGGATCTGATTGAGGAGCGCTAGGAAGAATGGATCGAACGAGAAGGATTAGAGCAAGTTCCGTTCTGGATGAATCAAGAAAGGAAGTTCCGGGAGTTCTGTGTCCCGAAGAGAGAAAGCTCACTAAGAACTAGCTTGGCCGTAGTTCCTCGTAGGAGATAGACGGACCAAAGGCGTTCCTCGAGAAAGGCTGACCAATTGCGGATTCCGAAAAGAAATAATTTCACTGTCCTAGTTATGCGAGACGCCCTCTTCCTAGCGAGTGAATGATTGAACTGATAGCTGAACTGATAGCTTCAAAAGGTGACTCTTCTCTTTCCTTTTGGTTAGCTTGCAATACAATGCGGATCAGCGAGACTTGCTTGAATGCTTGCTAGACTTCCTTATTCTTCTTTTGAAAGCAGCTTTTACTCAGATAGCTACTTCTGCAAGCTAGTAGGTTCAGTAGTCACAACTGATTACTCTCTTGTTTGGAACCTTGAGACGAAGGCTAGCTCTTTCCCTCTCCTTTTAGTTTCTTAGTCAAAATGGGTGATGGTATTCTGCCTAAATAGTAGACACAGGTAATAAATAAGAGAATACTAAAGATTCGAGCCATAGAATTTCTCAATTCTGACACAAGGAACTTATACTTATTAGATCTAATAAGTACATTAGACCTAATAGAATTATTTTGCTGTATCCAGACTAATACCAATCCAACCCATTTCATGAATAAAATGTGACCAATTAACCAACCAACAAAACTACTTGTTACAAATAACATCTTGTTGTTG